CACTTTGGCAAAGTGCTGCCAATACTTTTGTTGGCAGTGGTCTCAGCAACTCTGCAGGAATTCCATCATTTCCTGGAGTTTTGCAGTTAGGCAACTGGTTGAGTGCCCACACTGCTTCCTCCTCCAGGATAGCTGGTTCCATTTCTGGTAGGTCAGTTTCTCCTATATCACAAGCAATGCCAGAGTAACTTTAATATTTATGATGGTTCTGAATTCGTGAAAACTCTTGGGGAAGCATATGCATGATTACACCAGATTGTATTTGATGAATAGATTCTGTGGTACATCTGTGTGTGAACTCAACTGATTCTTCCAAAGAGCATTGGAAGAAATCAAAGTGCCATTATGTTCCGTTCACAACGTCAAAAAAACCTACATATAAACTTGTTTTTATATGTGATGTCTTCTGATATTATTCAAACTGCTCTTATTTATGGTCTGAATTGACCAGAAATGTACTATAAGGAAATAATAGAAGTATTTTATATAAACTTGCCTGAAATTGAAGTATCTTGCACAGTGCTACTTCTTAAGAAATTGTTTGAATGCATAGTTTTTTATTGCTTCTACAGATCTTGAGTACGAAAGTCCCAAATATATTTTCCCCCAAAACCAATTGGACTTTCTTGGTGTTTTCTTGGAAAACATTTTGCTTCTCATCCCAGGATGAGAAGAGAAACATTTTGGAAACCATTTTTTAAAAATGTTTTTCTTTCTTTTTTATTTTGCTTAAACTTTTTCTTTTTTTTTCTTCCACATTGTTTGCTCTTTGCTTTCTTTCTTTTTTTCCCCTTTACATTAGCTTGGATTATTTTTTAACTTTTTTAAGCGTTTCAATAGAATTATTTAAAAAAAAACAATTTAATTTTAACACATGTTCAACCAGATTGTCAAGAGTGTTGACAAATTGTGTAATTGCGAAAGGACTTGTAATAAGCAATAGAAAATAAAATAAAATAAAAAACAATAGCTTCCTCTGAAATGAAAGAGCAGTGATCTTGAAGTCTTAGTGATCTTCATCCATCAAGTAAGTACAACAAATTCCCTTGCTAGATACAGGTAATCTACAACATACAACCACAATTGGGACTAGAAATCTAGTCATAAATCATTGCAGTTGTAAGTCAAGACTGGACCTGGTTTTTCAGCATTTTTGTGACAGTCATTAACTGAATCATAGCCATTAAATGAATGGGACCATCATTAAACAAAGCCATTCTTCTAAACACTTTAATTTTTTATTAGTACTAACAGTTTTCAATTTTGGGGGACATACCTCCAATTACCTTTCTGTCATAAAAATCAGATTTCTTCCCTGATTTCTTTGATTACTTTCTGCTTTACTTTCAAGCCTATCTAACCTGTTGCAAGTTCTTAAACAGAGCCTGGACCCCTGCTGTGAATTTAACTCACTCCGCCATTAAATATAAACTTACATTCACACAAACATTGCAAACATATTCAGGAATAGATGCTTATCACATTTTACTATGAGAGCCTTTGACCTCTTACACATGAAGTTATGGTCCAACAGTAGTAATAGCAAGAGTGTTTTGTGGCCACTGCCACTGTCACATGGGAGTTACACACCGAAACTGGGAAGACTAAGAATAAAAGGGACCAGATTTTTATAAATCAAGTTTATTAAAATTAGATCAATTAAATACAATGATTGCTCCCAGATGCCTTATACTTTCTTATTTCACATAAAAAAATACAGATTAAAGAAGGGATTAGGAAATGTTGACGTGCACCTTTCATCCTCAGAACTTCTGCTCCTCAGTTCACATTTCTTACATTTAAAAAAGAAATGCCCTTTCAGTGATACCCTGTGAATATTTACATACTGTAATTCTTTTTAACTTTGCTTTCTAATTGAAGAAGTTTTGGAAAGGACATGCTGTTGACTTCAAAATGCTTTCTCCTGCTAATTTTCACATGAATAGATGTTGAGTGCTTTAAAGTAAGTCTTTATACCTCCTCTCATTTTACTGTTTTAATGGAAAAACAGGAATTATAATTTTCTTCAGAATAAATATAATTAACAAGTTTATATGTATGGCTGCCCATCTCACAAAAGCTGGGCAGCAAACAATGAAGCCAATGATTTACCAATTTATTATTTACCAATACTTTATTAAAATAATTAATAAAGCAAGGGTCATAAGAGGATTAAAATCAGAAATAGTTGAGTGTGATATAGCAATTGCATGGGTTCCTCGCCGTGAGGGGATGCCCAGGCTTGGTGAAACCCACCTGCCCCCCCATATTTTAAGAGCTTTCCCAAAGACTATAAGGGTTGGCACTAACCACATAAAGGGCAATGCTATTCTGAAGAGTGGATACCGAGGCAGAAAAGGCTCGTCTCCTAGGTCCTGCCTTATGGAATTTCTTGGCAGATGGGATTCCATAGCACGCAAGTCTCTGCTGGACTTGATAGGATAGGTAGATGTAATCAAGGAGTAGCAGTCCGTCAGATAACCTGGTCCTGTGCTATGTAGGGCTTTAAGGTCAAAAGCATAAATTGGACCCCGAAGCAAACTGGTAACCAACACTGCTCATAGAACATGAGAAGTGTCCTGTAGAGAAACACACAACTGCCCATGCAGTTACATTTTGCACCAGCTGAAGCTTCTGAATACCCTCTGAAGGCAGCCCCGTGTAGAGCACCTTAGAATAGTCCATTCAGGATAGGACCAGGCAGTGACATTAGCATAGTAATTGGCAGAACTGGAGCAGGGGAAATGGTAGCCAGTATTACTAACAGTCAAAAGGATTGGAATTGCAGGCTAACAACATTCTGGAAAGCTCCTGTGATAGAAGATCTTTTTTTCTGATATGAAGGAGCTTCTGTTGTGAAAGATAACAAAATAGTTTAGTCTTAAGCCTTACCCAGAAAATGGAACAACATAAAATGAATTTTATTGATTTAATATAGATAGTCCTCAACTTGTGATCAAAGTTCTGACAGACCTACCAGGGGATAGTTATTACCAGGATTCAAAATTCCAATAGTTGGGCCCCCATCCCCACAATCACATAATTGTGCTTTGGACATTCAGCAACTGGGCCACATTTACAGCCATTTGTAGCATCCCAAACACATGGCTATATTTTACGCAGTTTTGCCAAAAACCAGCATTGACTTACGATTTTTGGCAAACTCAAAGATCATAAACCTGAGTCAGTCACATGACTTACCCACTTTACGACTATCACAAGTTACGAACCAGGCTCATTACAGTTGCAACTCAAGGACTACCTGAATCGAAGTACTCTTGGTAGGCCCCCTGGCTTGAAACCTTCTATTCATATTACTGCAGAGAGCACAAGATTTCTCAAATTAACAGCTTAAATATATATTAATGTTAGGCTTTATTACTCACATGCCCTCTGTTTGACTTCTGACACACTTGTTTAACATTACACACAAAATTACAATTGGTTTAAATGTAAAGGTTATCAGCCACTTCCTGACACACTGTCCATTGTTGACAGCATATTTTAAAAAACAGATCTTTAGTAATTAATGATTATCCAAAAAATATTACATTATATGAGTTATTTTTATTGTTGTCAAGTCACCATACTTGTAACACATTTCTAAACTGCTTGGGGTCAGAACCCAGAATGAATCCATTCAGACGTATTTGTAGACAGAACAAGCACTATTCTGAAATTGGTTTCAAATTTCTCTCCAGCATCTTGTTAAGAAAAGCATTTGTATCAGCCATTACTCTGTCCTGGGAAGTTATCTTCTATCTCTTGTTGCTTTCCCTTGTCACAATGCATATTTGCACAGCTTCCTTCTCATGATTTTGTTTATAAGATGTCAAGTACTCCCCATTTAGAGGGAAACAAAAATCTGTCTTGCTTTTTTATAGACTTCAGTCAGCTCCAAAGAAATTAAAGGAAGAAAACATTACTTTTCCTCCTTGGAATCTGAATGGTCAGGGAAAGTAAAAGTTGTATTCAATGCACTTATACAAATGATACCATTTCACAAAACCTGTTTCTTTGCCAGGTATTTCATCAGCACCACAATTTTTCTAACTGCCCAGAACAGGACGCGTGTCTCTTAAATCTCTGCACATTTCCACCTCCCCCCCCCAAAAAATATTTAAAAATAGTTAAGATTAGATTAGAATAGAATAGGTTAGGTTCTTCTTTCTACTGTATTTGATTTCCCTATGTGAAAACTGTTGTTTGTATCTCTAAACAGAAGCATGAAAAGGAAAAATACTTCAATAGACATTGCTTTTCAGGATGTGTAATCAGAATTGAAAAAAAAAAGTTCACTTAATAAAAGTGCTTTCCACACAGCTATTTAAAAAAAATATTTGGGAGAAAATATTTCCTTTATTGAAAGAATACAAGTATACATATCATTGCTCACTATCAAACTTCTTTCTACGTAAGCCACTTTTATTAACTATAGAACATGCAGAAATTCAACAGGTATAGCCTTATTTTCCACTGATGGAAGGCACATATACATCTGTTTACTTTGTTTCAGTTAGAAACAACAGTGAAAAGAAAGTTGGATCCATTAGTAGTTAAAATGTCAAAAGCAGCACTGGGGAGACCCTCTTTTAAACTCATCCCAGCCATGGAAATTAACTGGGACATTTCAAACTACTCTCAGCCCAACCTAGCTCAGACATTGTTTAAAGATCAAATAGAGATATTCTTGCCTAAGTTGTTCAAACAGGTAATAGTAATGTAGTGATATAGTAAAATATTAACACTCCCAAGTGCACGATTTTAGACATTCAACAGGAACTTGAGCCTTATCCCCAGAGCGGGGTTAAGGTTAGCCACAGAAAGCTCGTGCAAAAACTACGCGGTACAGCCTGTCTTCCATCACTACTGGGGCTTTGCGCGGGCGGCGCAAAGGAACTACCGGGATTTCGGCTTGACGGGCCGCTCCGCAGGTGTTCCCACGGCGCCGCCCCCGCGGAGCCACCCCATTCGGCTCATCCCTTCGTTCCTCTACTCACGGCAGAGAAGTTGTGCGGGCCGCACATTTCGCCTCGGAACTTGCAGGAGAGGAGCATGTCGTCGAGGCGGTGCCCGAGGCGATCGACGAACTCTTCGCTGATTCCGCCGAAGTGGCGCGGTGGCAAGAAGAGCCGGAAGTCGGCCAACTTGGCGAACCAACGCAGGCGCTCCGGCTCGGCGTGCAGGAGCTCAGCAAGCAGCGGCCGCGCCGTCCGGTTGGGCAGAAGAAGGCCGAGCCAGTTGCCGGCGTAGTAGAGGTCGCCTTTGGAGAGGCGCGGGAAACGGAGCGGATTATTGTTACACAACGTGACGGTAGGGAAGGCCAGCTGACGGCTCCACTCGGTGCGCACCGTCGTGTGAGACGGGAAGGCCAGCCAATGCAGAAGCCGATTAGACGACCACGCCAGGAGCAGACCCAGCGAGGTTCCCACGGCCAGAAGCCACAATGCCCGCCGCCACGGGGCTGCTCGTCGCCAGCGTACCACCCGCAGACCCGGCAACCTCGGACGCTGTCTGGGCCGCCCCCTCGAAGCCCGCCGCCGCCGTTGCGCTGCCGCCATGCGAGCTCGCCGCCTCCCGCGCCCTCGCAGGGGGGGCAGCCGTGGACCAGCAGCAGCGGTAGCATCCAGAGGAGGGAGGGCGGGAGCGCTTGGCCGAGGGGACGGCCGCTCCACTCAGGTTCAGACGGACGCCGGCGGGCGGAATCCTCGTGGCACCTTAGAGAAGCCCGGAACCTGAGCGCCTCCTCTCCCACCAGCTTTGCCGAGATAGGCGTCGGTCTCTAGCGCTGCTCATCTCCGCAGATCCAGGCGAGGAAGAGGAAAGGCGGGAGGAAGAAGAGAGTAAGAGAAAAGAGGCGGCGCTGAGCTCCGCAGTTGCTTCCCTGGCTACCCTTCAGCGCCCTTCCCTAACAGTGGAGGGGAGACTCAACGGGAGAAATAGGAATGAAAGGGGGCGGCTCTCGACCCAGCCCCCCTCCCAGGCCGACGGGACTACCCCTCCTGCTTGCAGCAGATCTACCGCCAGACTTGGCCCACGAAGAGCAGCCTCTTCCGCGGGGAGAGCGAGGATGCTCTGCGGCTCCGCCTCCTCCAGAAGGCTGGGGGAAGGGGCGTGGACGACCAACCGGTTGGGGGGGGGGGGTAAGAGGTGAGATTAAATCGGTTTAAAAGCGCAGATATTATTATAATTGCCTTGTGATAAACTGAGGCCAGCATCAATCTTGCCGAAGGAAAAAGATGTGTCATAAATCCTTTGGTTTTTTGGAGTGAATTGTACATCTTACCCGAGACTGACGTTTCTAAAAGTTATTTTTAAAGGGAGGGGGAGAAAAAGCTTGCCAGGGCTTTAGGTTTCTCTCTCACACGTGTATAACGGGCTTGAGGAGAACATAGCGGTGCACCGGCGTTCCCGATAGGAAACCAGAATCATTAGGTCTGATCCTCTGATTTAAAGTTTAAAAAGATTCACAATAGATCACCACATGTGTTTCTTTTACCATGCAATTCCAAATATTTGAATCCTAATGCAAGGCCATCTGTGTGCTTTCTAAATTGGCCATATTTTTTTGCATTTTATATGAATTTCTTTCAGAATATTTTGATAGAATAAGCATTACACAAAAAAAAACAGACTGAGACCTATTGATGAACCATGGTTAATCATAAAGATAGGGGAGGGGAGAAGAAAAAATGTTATTGAGCGATCAACAAAGCAACAATACATAAAGGAGATTTGGGACCAAATAAGCAACAGGTCACACATTACATTCTACTTTCCTTTCAAAATGCTGTCTTAATATTTAATTATATTATACAGTCCACTTAACCTTAAAAGCTCTGGAATTGATGGCCTTTTCAGAAAGATTAAACACTTCCATCACTTTCATAGAGGTTTATATTAGCTATGATCATGGAAAGCATACTTTCAAAAGCATTGTGCTTTCTTCACCAGTTGCTAGGGCAAACTTTATACAACCATTGCTATTTTATTCCAAGCTTGCTGGCTTTGCAAAGCTATCTTGCTCCTGAAGAATTCTGCATCTTTAATTCAGTTCTCATGCTTTTTTCCCCCTTAGCCTTAACTTTATCCTTGTGGTAAATGCCTCTGTATATTTTTTTTGTCTACAATTTCATTTCTTGTCTCTCCACTTCCAAAGAAATCAACAGAGCTCCTATATATAGGTAGTTCTTGAGTTACAACTACAATGGAGCCCAAAATTTATGTTGCTAAGTGAAACATTTGTTAAGCAAGTGTTGCCATATTTTACAACTTCTCTTGCCACAGTTGTTAAGTGAATCATTGCATTTATTAAATTAGTAACATGGTTGTTAAATGAATCTGATTTCCCCATTGACTTTGCTTATCAGAAGGTTGCAAAAGCTGATTACATGAACCCAGGATACTACAACCATCATCAATGTAAACAGTTACTAAGCATCTGAATTTTGATCATGTGACAATGGGGATGGTGCAGCGGTCATAAGTGTGAAAAATGGTCACACCATTTTTTGCAGTGCCAATGTATGGTCACTAAATGGACTGTTGTGTTTCTTGGTTTCCAATAGCATTCCTCTATAACTAACCACAAATTAATGTATCTATGAAAAGGAAAAATATATTCGATCCCCCCAACCCAAATAATTTACACTTGAGTAGGTTGTCAAATTTGTTGAGTTCAGTAATAAAGATATTAACCTATTTTATTAACGCCAAATGGCCCCAAAACAAGTTACAATTTATAATATAAACTTGTCAGTGGATAAACCAGTTTAACAAGTAAAATATTTAATAAATATTAGTTAATACAATTTTTTAATGACTCTAAAAATAAGTCTTTTAATAAATCAGCAAGCTGGAGTTTTAAATATTATGTAATATTAATTAAATATTTCCTTGTTAAACTTTTAGACTGTATTTGTAAACTTTTGGATCTTTAGGCTATAAATAAAATTGATTGGTTAATGGAAAGAGCCAATTATTTTAACGTTACCTTCCTTTTATGATAGAGTTTGTCTTAATTTTGTTTTCCTTTGGGGCAAATGCTGCTCACATAAAGAAATCTTGCTGTGTTATCCTTTTTTTTTACTGCAAAAAACCAATCTGGAAGAAAAGGCTCTTGTCTTCTGTATGGATTGATGATTTTCTTTAAGAATGATAGCTGGCCATGTACAATAGACAATGATACACTGCTGTGCAGCTCCAAAACAGAACAGTTGTTTTGGGGGGGATAGAAGGGATGTGTGCTTAGCATCTCCTTCAAGATGGCACACCATTTTGTGAAGTCAAGAAGTACCAGCAAAATATGCCGTTAAACAAGCAGGTGGTGACAGATACAAGAATTCTAAAGTGACTCATCTCCACTTTTGCAACTCAAGAATGGATTTTCCTAGTGCTGCACACCTTCTATTCCTAGGGTCACCAGGAAGAGTGCAGCTTCTTTAGGGAAGCACTAAGTGCTCTTCTCTTTCCTTTTCTGCTTTGAATTTCAATAGCAGAAATAGATATCTGTAGACTAGACTATTAAATGTTCTATCACTCTAAAATTTCATAAGAGGCTAGGGATGGGATTCAGAAAAAGAGAATGTTGGAATTTTTGTTGTCCTCAGATAAAGAGGACTTCAGAGAAGCAGAGATAATAAGAACAGGTCTCCTGGCTGAGTTTGGCATTGTGCCACAGCACTCCAAAAACCATGGTTGAAATGTAACTAGCAAGGTAAACTCAGTAAGGAAAGTGCAAACAGAACCATCAGAGATCTTATACTTCGTTTGTTCCAATGGGTAGCTTTATATCTCCCATTTTCCATCCCCCTGTTGTTTTGTTCATCCTATTTATAGACTGCCTATTAGCTTTGATATTTGGAACTAAGTCTTGTATCATTTGGTACATTAATCCCTTCTACTTCATTGCTTTTACTAAAATAATGTAAAACTTTATTTTGTGTTACTCTAGCATTGAGTTTGTATTAATACACAGATTGAGCTTGATTGAAAGAAAACACTAGATATTTATTTCAATTCTTAGTCCCAGGAAAGGAGAATTTCCTGTTTTGACTCATCTAGATCCCCATTCAATAACTGATGGTAACAGTATGCACGTAATCCTCAACTTGCAACCAATGGTCGGGTAACCATTCAAAGTTAGAACAGCATGGAAAGAAATGACTTATACTTAAAACCACTGCAAGCATCCCCATAGTCATGTGATCAAAATTCAGGCACTTCGCAACTGGCATGTATTTACAACAATTGCAGTGTCTCAGAGTTGCGTGATAACTATTTGCAACCTTCTCAGCTGGCTTCCAACAGAATCAATGAGGGAAGCCAGATTTGCATAACCATTGTGAACCACTTTCTCAATTTTTTTTTTAAAAAAGGTTGCTCTCAAAAGTTACCCAGCTTCTTTATAGCTCATTGATGCTAAATGTATGGGCCTAGCAAATGATGTTTAGATCGCTGCAGATTCAAGAAACAGATCTATTATATTATTCACTTTTAGAAAATGTTACTGATGTGTCAGTTTTGTGCTCTGTCTTGTGATTGTGAGCACGAGAGAACAGCTATTGAATAGTGTGGAAGGAAAGCCTTGCAGTGGTCAGAAAGAGCTCTTCCTGCCCTTTGTTTTCTCCCCTGGGATTTTAAGAAAACACTGAGAGAGCACTGGTGTGTAGGTCTGTTTGGGGGTGCAATGTGTGGTATGTGCTAAACAGAAAGGAGCTAAAACAGTAGAACAGGTGAAAACTGATGATAAAGGAAGATCAGGCTTGGACTTCACCAAACTAACAGCAGAATCCAACAGTTTCACCATTGCAGGGGCAATGCTGAGAAGTTACAACCAGCAGCTAATATTGTATAGGTATAATATAAGATAGAATAGGCATAGTAATTAAGTTGTTAGATATATATGTGTTTGTGTGTATGTATGTTTGTTTGTGTGTTGTGTATGTATGTGTGTGTATGTGTGTGTGTGTGTGTTTATTTGTACTGATAAATAAATAAAGGGAGACTAGTATAGATCTATTTCAAGCTATTTAGCTCTCATCGGCTAGCCATACCCTTACTGGGATTCGAACCTGGGCTATATTACATATTAGGCAGACATCTTAGCTATTAAGCCACAGGCTCTGATCCATTATCAGCTGAGCCAGGGAGAAAGGTATATATTTAAAGTCACAACCCCCGGTATGCCCCAATTATGGGAGGAAGCTAACTACTTCCATTCAAAGGCAACAGTAAAAATATTGGGTTTGTGTTGTGATGGACTCTTGTGATGAGCCAATTGACAGATAATGGAAGCTGTCAGCTTCCTCCCATAATTGGGGCATACCAGGGGTTATATATATATATATATACATATATATATATATATATATATATATATATATATATATATATATATATATATATATATATATACACATACATACATACATACATACCTACACACACACACACACACACACATATATATACACACACAAACACAAAAATAAAAGCCTCTGTGACTTTTCCTATCTACAGGGAAGGTAACAACTGTCTTGCCTATTGCTTATCTATAATA